CAGAATGCTGAGGCATTACCTGGCCATGACGTCGTCATTCAGGTTGGGTGGTCAGCTGTTTGTGTGTCTGGGCCCCAAGAACAGGGGCGCCCCGCTGTCGGCTCAGCGGCTGGCGCACTGGGTCGCCACGGCTGTGCGGCGGGCGTATCAGACGCAGGGTCTGGCCCCCCCGGTGGGCTTCAGGTCGCATTCCACGCGTGGGATGGCGGCCTCTACGGCCCTTCTCAGGGGGGCGTCGGTCGAGGACGTCTGTCGTGCGGCTTCTTGGGCATCGTCCTCCTCTTTTGTCCGGTCTTATCTTTTGGATGTGTCGGACCGGTCGGTGGCCCATTCCGTGCTGAGTGCAGCGGACTGAGTTAGACCGTTAGGCCCCTCCTCTGAGTGTGCCTTCGGTTTCTTTCCGCCCTGGTTCAGGAGCTCTTGGGAGAGGCATCCTACAGGTGCGGTACATATATGTGTGTTTGGTCGGTCTGGTAGTCCACGTCAGGAGCTCTTGGGAGAGGCGTCCTGGGACTACGGATGACCTACGATCTGTGTTACGTGGGGGCATCCTTGGTAGGAGTGGCCCTGTAACACGCTTGTTTCTTCTGCCCTGAGTCCTCTCACGGTGTGAGGGTCTTGCTCGGGCGGAGCTCCAATCACCCTTCGCTGGCCTGCTGGGAGTACATGTTCCTACGGCCTCCGCGTTGTGTCCCACTAGCGAAGTCCTAAGGGACGTAGCACCATGACGTAGAATTAATAGTTACCTAATTTAACTTACGTTCTACGAATAGGTGCGTAGTCCCTTAGCTACGAGCCCATCGGGCCAGCCCGGCTTGGCAGAGTTCAAGAGGGGGTGCGGCTGTGTGCAGGGGCATTTATAGAGGATGGTGGCTGGTGATTGGAGCAAATTATTTTGATCTCTCTGGCGTGTGACCTGGGGGTCACGAGTGATATCCCACTAGCGAAGTCCTATTCCAATTCGTAGAACTTAAGTTACATTAGGTAACTATTAAATATGCACCTTAAAGCTGCACTAACTGACTTTATTTTCGTATTCATTACGAAAATGCTATCCATGTCCATGTAGTGCATTGGGATATACGTCCTTTTGAAGAATAATTAGCGCAGATTTGTGCTGGCGTGACATTATATTTTAGATCGAGTTTTGATGAAACAAGGAAGAGAATGTGTTTCGGGTCGCAGATTGTGACCAATCACAACGGACCAATAGCCCCCACTTTCGTGAGAAATCTACAGGTCCCTGTTAGCACAGACAGCTGAGTTAGCACAACAAGCCGAGGAGCTAACCTGAAACTTCGTGTCTTCGTCACCGGTTACTGCTTACACAGCGAAACATCCATCCAAAAGAAAGTCCCATTCCTCCGCGCTTCCCGGTTCTATCGTTTTATGGTCACGCCATCCACGTGCAAATCCATATCCATGTATTATCCATATTGAGAAACACTAGCTCCGTCCCAACAGTGAGTGTGTGTGGGGGGCGATAGCTTCGTGGGTGCGGGGAGAGGAGCAGAAAGAGAGAGGCCAGCAAGTCCGCGGCTTCAAAATCCCAAAGTCAGTTAGTGCAGCTTTAACTCTGTAGTTTCAACAGGTGTAACCTAATAATTGCTTTAAAGCTAACTGTAACTTTGCATAAACCTGGATTGTAAAGAACTTCTTAATACTAACAGGCTACATTAACTTGGAAAACTTTAATTAACTTTAAATAGTTTTGACTTAAACTGAAATGCGCACAAACTTCAATAATAGAAACCCAAAATATAACCAAAAAGTCCATCCATCCATCCATTTTCTACCCTTTAATCCATTTCTGGGTTAGGGGGGTGGCAGTCAGAGTTGCCACCCAAGTCTCATAGCACCAGCATAACCAAAAAGTATTGTAGAAAATCGAAAGTGCTATGCAATTACTTCAGTTAGTTTAACTTGGCTTAAAACACTCTTATTTCCTGAAAACATAGTCTTATTCTTATTGTCTTCTATAATTCAGTATAATGACTTGAATTGACGAAGGTCTGGTGTTTGGGAGCGATTGGCTGGTATGGTGGCGCCGCCTTGTGGTGTACTTCAATATCGCGCCCACTGCTGCTGCCGCCGTCGTCTGGACTCCAGCTTTTCACCGGCGCTGGGCTGGTCAAGTTTTTACTGTAGCTCCTCAATGACAACGCTGCACACGGATTCTCGCGTACGGGCTCATTTATTGACCTTACAAGTGTCATAAATGTCTATTAACGCCGTGAAAACTACAGGACAAAATAAAATATGCAATTAAACACAACTCTACTTTACAAAACAAAACTTAAATTTAGCTACCTCGTGACCACTTGTCATGAGGTCTTTAGCGTAACTTGAAAAGCAATATGTGCGTTTCAGCTGTACACAACATGTAATACAATTAAAAACACAAACGTAAACACACAATAAAATTGTACATGTACAAATAGATACCTGATACAGTCGCTTTCTCACTGTAAAAGTGGCTCTCGCTCTGATGTCTTTAGCACGAGAGAGCGTCTGCCTTTCTACCTGAGGGCCCCTTGCAATCCCCAGTTCCCGCAGATTCTCGCGATAGCAAAATTACGAAATAAAACCAATGTATAAAAGTGTAATAACAAATACTTTCTTTTGGAGAAACAAACGTATTACTAGTGTAATTTACAAAACTATTCTAAACCAAATAAATAGAAAAGCGAAATAAACTTTTATAAGAAACCTACACTACAGTAGCTTAAGTCCTCAATGCACCATAAACAAGCTCCCTGACAGTAATATAGATATAGATATAGTCGTTATAAAGTGATTAAACTGAAGAGGCAGGAAGGAAAAAAACATAACACAACAAAACATATTCTAACTCAATCCCATAAAAGAGTAGGAGGACAAAGATGGCTAAAATAAAATAATATACCTGGGTTTAGTGTACTTTCTTACCTGGGGACTGAGGGGAAAGAAAACAGCAGCGAGTCACCACCAGCACGTGCATCTCGTTAATCATTCGCTGAAAGGGAGCCTCTTTCTGACATTTCTGACGCGAGTAAACCATAGACTGTATATCACATATAATATATGGAATAGATCCATACGAGATATTATTACTTATTTTCTGCCGAAAGAATTGCGTTGTTCATCCTGAAGACATAATGAAATGTCTCACATGGGGGTCAATGGATCTATTCGGGTCTAACCGGTCTAATGCGACCGTTCGGTGAAAGAATGAACATATCGAGACTTTTCAATGTACGCTAACTGTAGATCGAAAAGTCACATTTTCAAAATCAAATTTCTGCCAGATCTCCATATTTTACAGTAGACCAAACTAAATTAGATACAGGGATAGTTCTACATGAGACAAGCAAAACTCTCTTGTAGAATCCTTTGGCACGAACAAGGTGTCAGCCATGATGACGTGAAATTTTGCCGCAAATTTGACATTACATTTTTGACTTTCATCAGAAAGGTGGTACATTTATATATGTATTGGAGTTATATAATTCTTGAAAGAAAATTAGAAATTCTTCACCGTTTTTGTCCCTCGCCCTTGTGAATGACGCTTTTGGTTGGGGTGTTTTTGACGAAGCTTTAGAACCACAGAGCTGTGAGGCTGTGACTCATATCATTAATAGTTACGGCCTGAGCTAATGGCATAAAAGTTACAAGCCTAATATGAACTTTAAAGCGCCACCTATAGGAGGTCTCTGACCCAAATCTATGAACCGTCTCTAGTCTTCAGGCTAAAAAAAACAATAAGTGACTTGACTGTTTAAAAATATTTAATTTCCAAACAGAAATGTTTCCAAATGTCCCTTTTGATGATGAGTTAATGAAAAGAAATTACCTTCATAATAAAATAAAACATATAGATGCTAGTTCTTCACTTTGCATTACTGGTTTTAAAGTTTGGCATATATTGAATACAAAATAGTAAACAAAATATTCTTCTTATATTCAGATATACTCTTTCTGGAAATGTTTTGAACATAAAATATAGACTATACATTTTTCTATACAAATCAATTCTACGTTTAAGTTGTACTGTAGTGGAACTAGATACAATTGTATAATTAAAAAGTATATGAGCAACAAATTATGTGATTTTTTTGTAAGATTTTTTCTTCTTTTTTTTACTCTTGTTTTTAAATTATGTCTTATTGTGTATTGGGAGATTTTAAGAATACCATATTCACACGTAAGTAACTAAAGATACCATCAAATTAAAATTCTCTTTACAAAAAATATAATACAACTCATTTTACATTTTGAATTTTCGACACTAAGTGCAACAAAAATTATGAAAAAAATAAAGTAGAGAAAAGAAATTGCGCCCTGGTAAAATTATTCCTGTCAAACCAGTAAAGTAAAAGAAAGCAAGATGTAAAAAGAAAAATGGTAAAGCTTCATAATAACGTCACCTCAATTATATGAAATAAACATAATTACACTTTCAACACTAATGTAGTTCGTTTCTTATTAAGAATGATGTCTCTCTGAAAATTAATAAGCTGTGTAGTACAGATCAAATATTACCAAATTATTTTTTGAATTTTCAACTATGTTAAAACCTTTTCCCTCAATCAAAACAGACCTGGAGTTGTTTTTTACCTCCATCTATGCGAATATCACCTCAAACGTGTTACACAATTAAAAATCATTTGAATATTGGGGCATAGACAAATCTTTTTATAATGCCTCAAAATTACCAAATTTCTACAATCTAACGACTGGTGGTAAATTCAACCATTTTAGATGTTTACAATGCAGCAGAGCAGAATGTGGTCCCACTTCTACCACTATTTCACAAATCCATAAAAGCTCCTAATTCAATTCTATGAGATTTTTTATACATTTTGTTTTTCTCTACTTGGGAAATCATGTCACATTCTAACACATATCCAAAAGTACATTCTCACAATAACAGATATGGGACAAAATGAGCACAATAAAAGCATCATATTTTTCCTTGATAATCTCCGTGATATTTGGGTGTGGACACTGTGGTGTGGTCGTCAGTATTTGCAGGACGAGTCCGAGGAGAATCGCCCGGTGTACGCTTCGTAAATGGAATCCAGGAAAGAGCCGTCATTCTGGAAAGCACCAAGCACAGACAGTTAAAGCTGTGGAAACTAAACTCTCTTATTTAATAAATAATGCATGTAGTTTGTCCCAACTTTTTTAAGTGGCTACTTGTGAAGAAATCTACTTCAGAACATGTATATTTTTTGTGTACTATTTACAAAGTGTCGCTTTTTCACTTTTCTGTCCAAGAAAGTGGCCCAAAAAATACATGATAGAACCAAACTGTTTAGAAAGCTGGTTAAAGTTTTGTGTTTATGGATGTGATGATTTGTGAAAATGATCTGTCTGTGTGGAGTGTGTGTGGGGGGGGGGGGGGGGGGGGGGGGGTTTAAATATAAGCATAAGCTTCCATCATCCCTCTTTCAAACCAAACAAAGCAAAGTACTACAAGCTCAACAGATGTTATGAAAGTTCCAATGTTTATGGTTTGAAACTTACTACCCCAGATGTTTTGAAATACCTGCTAAGAAAGAGTGTATAATGACAATGATTCGTATGATGTGACTGCATTAGCTTTGAGCATGGAATCTACACTTTCCATGCTCAAAGCCAACTGCAGTTGTAACATACAGAACACAAGGACATGTCCGGACTTTCACCTGAATGAGATGCAGGAGTGCGGCTTTAAGCTGGCTCCTTGACAGTATCTGGGTTGGATTTGCAGGACCGGATCTGGTGAGCTGAACAGAGGCCGGACTGGGCTTAGTCTGACTGAAGACACTGGGAGAGAGAAGCATCGTGGGTGCAACAGTCGCTGGGATCCGCTGAGGAGAGATGACCTGGACACAAAGTTTAAAAATACAGTGGATCTCATGATTTGATTTGATTGTGAAAGTGAAGGAACTTTTACTGTAATATTATGCAAAGATATTTTCAAATGTATCGTTGTGAGATGCATCAGGACCAGTGTGTACTCAAAGCTCACATAAAACAGCAATTTATAAGAACTTTATAAGTAGAGACCGACAGATATATACAAGTCTATTGTTAAAGATGCTATACCCGATTTTTTATTTTTATGAGTTCATAAAAATGCGTATTACTACATACAAGTTGTAATATAATCCGTAATTTAATTGAAAACTTGAGCTCATTGATTCAGCTTGTGTATGAATTCAGGCCGTAAAAAGTGCTGAGTAGAGACTCCTCCAATCACAGAACGAGGAGGCGTCCTCTAGCTTCTACAGCGCTGTTAAACACAGTAGCATGTTAGCAGAATTGGCTATAACTCCTCTTGCTGTAACTGTATACACAGCAAAACAGCCCGAACGACACAACAGTGAGGAAGAGAAGAGGGAACTAAAGCGAAAAAATGATCAAAGAAGAAATCGAGCCCGGGTGAACATAGCTAGCTTACATCATATCCTCTGGAGAGACTTGTCTATGGGAGAGACCTGCGGGATTGCCTCGGACTATCAATGCTCGGACCACATTTGGACGCGAAACTAGCGGCAATCTTTCAATTATATTTTTTGTTAGCAGTGCGTTTCTTTTGTACCATTTCATCAGTGATTGTTGTACAGCTTAAGTTGCGCTAATGCTAATGTTAGCATCAGATCGCAAATACAACTAGATGGCTCCGTGGGATGAGAGCGTAGGAGAAATGAGAAGCCTCTGAGCGAGTTGGGGGGCGATGCTAAACGTTCAAACCTTGCAGAAACGGCTCCTTTAAAGAAACATTGCCATTTCCTTATGTGTCTGTTGTTCCATACAGTGTGGTTTCTCCCATCTATTTTCTCACAACAAGGACACAACAGCAGCAGCCAACAAAATCATTGTCGCCTCAGGATAAAGATGCCAAAAACACCAGCAAGTATGTTGAGTTGAGAAGTTGCCAGCCCAATCCAAGGCCCATAAATGTACTTTTTCGACCATAATCCAACATAAAACTTAAAACTCAACCTCATAATGCTGTTTATACACACTACAATATTTTCAATACAAAAAATGAAAACTGTAAGTTAACAGCAAAGGGAATTTTTTGGAATAAAACCACTATCTCACACCTGAAATTGCAGAGCTGCCTTTTGTCCCACAGTGGCTGGGGTGTGGGTTGAGAGCTGGCTTAGACCTGGATCTTTGGCCTCAGATTGGGGAAGACCCATGAACCTGGGGGCTGGCACAGGAGCTGTGTGAGGGGGATCTGGGAGGGTCTGGATCTGCTCCTGCTGGACAATCTGCAGCTTCTGTAGCAGTTCATGAGGAGACAACACACCTGGCATTTGCAGGGGGAAGCCTGCACACAAGAAAAGAAAACTATGATCAGGTATTTCACAAAACAATACAGAAAAAGTAGGGCTGTGTTTTCTGTATGATTTCTTCACCCAACCCCTTCTTCAAACATGTACTTTAGCGCGTATCAGTGTTTGTGTGTAAAATTGTGCAGGTTGGATATAAATGAACTAATATAAAGATTATGAGTTATCTCCCAAAACATTCCTTTCTTCTACCAGTTAAAATAACATTTCTGAGATTTCCCAGGTTGACCAATCGTTAGCCATTTCCTGGATGAGTGGTGTGCATATACTCTGCAGCCTACACAAAGGTTCTTTAAGCAATAAACAATAGTAAATATGTTTTTCCCAACAGAAACAGTCGTACAAAAGTCAAATAATGTGAATCTATCAGTCTTACAGCGGTCCCAATAAAAAAAAAATGACACTGTGTCATCAAATCCATGTAACTAGCTCCTTTCTAGTTTCCTTTTTTTAGCTTTTTGAGTGTTTTCCACTCACACTGAGCCAATCTACTTCAGCCCTTCGTACAAGTATGCAAAAGATAATATGTTTTCTAAAAAGCTCAATACAGCATGTTGGGGTCTTATACGTTCACAATATTACAGTTTAAATCTGGAATCCCTAACTTTAACCCTTGTGCTATCCTATGAAAATAACCCTAAATACATTTTTTGAGCTGAATTTTGATGATATTTCCTTACTTGACCAGCCCTGGATCTACCCTTTTAGATCCAAATTTAAGGTGAACAACAAATTAACTTACGGTAAACTACTGTAGTTCTCAGCACTGTTTGGCTCTATCCCTAGTTTTCACATGTCACAAATTTTCCTGTCAGCTTTAGGTTAAAAAGAGAGCACCTGCACTTACTCAGACAATCAGCTCTTAGTATGTAGGGCTGAAACAACTAATCGATGAATCGACGACTAATCGATTATTGAAATAGTCGACAACTATTTTAGTAATCGATTAATCGTTTTCTGGTTCACACGGACTCAAACAGAGCAAAAATGACATGAAAATGTAGTATTTTTGATTAAAACCGACTTTGTTTTATAATTTCATGAATATCTGTCTGTCTAGCTTTTTGTGATGAAAAAATATTTTTTTTCTACACAATTCACAGCCAAGCGATTACTCGATTAATCGTAAAAATAATCGATAGATTAATCGATTACAAAATAATCGTTAGTTGCAGCTCTATTAGTATGTGAAACTTGTTTTCTAAGATAAGAGCAGCATGTTGTGGTCTGCTTTCTTCACAAAATGTTACAAAACTCTTTCTGTATGGAAAAGCAACATGAAACAAAAAAGGCTTTACCAGGCTTTCTGTTGGAGTAAAAAAAAGAACTCTCGCTTTTAACGGAAAAAGTGAAGTATGAATCTTTTTTGAATCCCACCTGCTAGATGCGCAGCTATGTGGTAGTCGTGAGCTCTATTGAAGACCATGGGCTGGCTTTGATGTTGGGGGCACATTGGAGGCGCGGGAGGCTGACTTTGAAACAGTCTCTTTATGGGATCGCCCTGAATTTGCTGGTACGTCTGCTGTGCGTTGAGATGGTGAAGATGTGGATGGTGAAAAACACTGGGCTGCTCCATCTGGTGGCCGTTGTCGCACAGCCTGTTCTCCGGAGACTCTGAGACCGTTTGCAGCACCTCTCGTTGCCCTTGCATGAGCTTCTGAATGGCCGGACAATGCTGTGGAAGGTCGTGCACAAGTCCGCCGCCCTCAAGTGCACTTTGGGTGACGCTTTCCCCAGATCTTGCCTTGTTTTCGTAAGTGAGAGCGCGGACGACGTGAGGCCGTGCCGTGTTGTCTGTGGGTGCCATTGTTGTGCTGGGGTTGGACAATGCTAGTGAAGAGGAGGCAGCAGGGTCCAATGGCGAGGTGGGGACTTTGTGTTGGGTGCCAAACAGAGTGGCCAGAGACAGACTGCGCTCGCTTTCCTGTAACAAGAGAAATGTATTATCACGCCTATCATGTATTATGTCTGCACATCTATACTGCTGAAAATTAGAGTACTGTTCAAAAGTCTATTTCCTACTGCAATTTATCTCACGATGTGACAAATAGATTGGACAGACTTATTACATGCAAATTTAAGTAAAACATCTCAAAACATTAGATTATTTTTCAAATGGATTGTGAATAAAAATGATTAAAAAAAGGCTTGCCATATCACTTTGCATGTAATGAGTATAGCATATATTTATTTCAGATTTTAAGGTAAACTATAGAAATAAAATACACTTTTGAACTATGTTGTAACTTTACAAGTTTCACAGGTATATGCTCAAATAAGACTTTTCATAGCTTTCAACAATGTTCCATTTTCCCTTCTCTGTAGCAATGTTTCTGTTGAACACCGGTTTGCGTACATGATACTGCAGGTTATTGAAAACAGTGTTTCCATTGAAGGTTCTATTGCCTTTTCAGTGGCAATTTCTGTGGCCATTGGAATAGGAGAAGCCACTGAAAGTGCAATTAAACTTCTACATTCCCACTCACACCTTGACAAGGGTGGGGGTCTCAACAGCGACTCAGAGGGAGTCCCAGTCATAGATCAGTAAAGTGGCAACACATGTATTAGAAATAAAGGCTTATCATATACTATGTTGTGAAGATGATTACAATACATCTACTACCACTACCAAAAATGTGTACATCAGAAGCCGAGGCATCTCACTGCCAGTCACAAGCGCCATCTTGTCACCATGAAGTCAGGGCGGGGCAGTCACTCCATATACAGTGCCTCTCGAAAGAACTAGTATACCTTGAACTTTGGCACATTTTGGTTTACAACAATGAACAAATATTTTATTTTTATTTTATTACTGAAAGTTCACAAACTTGTAACAGACAACTGTGAAGTGAGAGCAAATTGATACATGATTCTATTATTACAAAAATAATACAGAAAACAGAAAAGTTGGGCATGCATAAGTATTCACACAGCATGAGTTAATACTTTCTGGCACCCCCTTTAGCTGCAACAGCAGCAAGTCTTTTGAGGTATGACTCTGCAAGATTTGGGCATCTGGACACAGAACGTTTAGCCTATTCCTCTTTACAAAGCAACTCAGGATCTGTCAAATTAGATGCAGTTTTCAGGTCTTTCCACAGATTTTCAATTGGATTTAGGATTGGACTGTCTGAGCCATTCTAACACATGAATTTGCTTCGATTTAAACCATTCCATTGTAGATTTATCTTTGTGATTTGGATCATTGTCTTGCTGAAATGGGTGAATCTTTGCCCCAGCGTCACTTCTCTTGCTTCTCCTCCAAAATGCCCCTGCATTTTGCTCGATCCATCTTCTCAGCTATTTTTATAATCTCCCAATGCCCACTTAAAAACGCAGCCCCATAGCATGATACTCCCCCACAGTATTAGACACTGGGATGGGGCACTCAGGACGATGAGAAGTGTTTGGTTTGCACCATACATAGCATTTTGCTGGTAGCCGTGTCCCCATAGAACTTCTGGCAAAATTCAAGAAGGATTTCCTACTTCTTCTTGCCACTCGTCCTTAAAGGCCAGATTTGTGTAGAGCAGCCATTCCCAAACTCAGTAACACCGAGGCCCCCTTAAAAATCTGACGGGTCTGCGTGGCCCCCCAAAATAATAACCAAGAAGACAACATTAAGAATAGGCTCTTCTGGTTATTTTATTTTGGGGAAATAGCCTCTGCTACAAACATTGTAATACAAAAATGATTACAGTGGATTATTCAAGTCAAATAATGAACACAAATATTTTAATATTACAAACAAAACATTATAAATGTAACTTTAAATAATTATATTTATTTTTTATTTTTTTTATGACCTCCCGCGGCCCCCCTGCAGTACCCTCGCGGACCCCACTTTGGGAGACACTGGTGTAGAGTATAACTGATGGCTTTCTCATGTACGGATTACCCCAGCCCAGCAGCAGTACTTAACAGAGTACTCTTTCAGAGTCATCTTGTGGTACTTGGTGTTCTTTCTGACGAGTTCTCTTAGTTAAGGTGGACAGCCGTGTCTTGGCAAGTTCGCAGTGATAACATACTCTTTCCATTTCCAAATTATACTTCTCCACAACTTTATCCCTAACCTCTATGGTGTGCTTCTTTGCCTCTATGATGCTGTTTACTGATCAATACACTCCAACCATACTGTAGCTCGGAGGCCCTCATAGAACAGTTGTATTTATTTTAGTCATAATGAATGAAAGGCAATTTAATGCTCTTAGAATACTTGTGCACGCCCTAATTTTCACTTTTCTGTTTTGAAAACAACAACAAAATCATGTATCATTATACTTTCACTTTACGGTGGTCTGTTACTTAAGTGTGAACTTTCAGTAAAACATCTAAAATAAAATCTTTATGTTTGTAGTTGTAAACCTGACAAAAGTTGCAAAACTTCAAAATGTATTAGTACTTTCGAGAGGCACTATATGTATAATAGTGTGGAAAATATTATTAACCTGAGTGTTTGGTTTGACAGGAATCGGCTTGATCAAATTGGGGTTTCCATAGAGCATGCTGCTGCCTCCTATCTCCTTGGGCTCAGATGAAGAGTTCTCCTGAGAAAGACAGCAGTACATGTGACTTTCCTACAAAGGCATTTGTGATGACAACCCGGCTGGTTGCTGCAGTCTCACCTTGTCGTACTCGTTGCGTGCTTTGGATAACATCTGGATAATGTCCACTGGTTTTCCTTGACTACCTTCTGGAGCCACATCCGCCTCGTGAGACTGGCCCGGGACCAGCTCCAACTGCGTGAGACTGGAGAAGGCAATTAGCACATGTATGGATCTTTTAAATGACTTTTTGTGCTATTATGTTAAAACTGTGCATTACAACAGTATGCTGAGGTCCGTCATGGTTTTAAATCAATTACTCCTTTTGTTTAAATGCAGTGAAACAATAAAGTATGCATGCTTTAGTTATGTCCATTTTGCTCCTGTATTTTATGAACTTGTGTTTAAGATGTTATTCAACAAGTGGATTAATGAAAATGAGGAATGCCATGTCCATATTGTTCAATATAGTGTTTGAAATAATTAGTTGGTGGCCGTAATACGTAGTATTTGAATTTCAAAAGATTTTTACTGCCTGTAAATCTTGTTATTGTTTTCATGTCGATGCCCCGCCCTCCGTTTTACCAATCAGAAAGTCCGTGATCCGGGTTGCCAGAAATCATTGCGTCAAGCTATTCTCACTGGTAAAGAAACATGTCAGGCCACCGTACTAAAAAAGGTCTCATTATGATTCTCAAATCATTAATAAAAAAACAAGGAATACAACAAGGATTTCTATCTTTATAAAAAAAGGTGTTAGTTAAAAATCTTTAGTTGACGAAACTCTTGTATATTCAGATATTATGGTCCCAGGTGGATTCGTCCGTATATCTGGTAAAGTCAGGGAGAGTGGGAGAGGTTGCGGTGCCACTTATGGCCAGATTATTGGCCATAACATACTGCTCCTTTAATCACTTTTACTGGCCTGGTGTATGAACTGGCAAGGCAAATAAACTTGCCTTGCCTTAGTTTTGAAAATTCCTTTCTGGTAGATCTTTCTGAACAAAAGGAGTTCAGTGACTGTTTGGATTGAACCAAAACTGGACCAAAACTGCTAATTACATGATGGGTGCAAACTGAAAAATTGAATAATATATGTGGTTGTTTTTTTATTTAGCTTTAAACAACGTATAACCTTCCATTCAGCACATTACATCAATGCTCCAAGTTAAGAATAATAGTTTTATTCTTTATACCACTTTGTCACTTAATGCATTTAATGAGTTCAAATCATATAGGTTTCACATTTGAAGTTGAATTTTTTTCATTTACTTTTTTACTCCCCTTAATCCCTGTATATTTATATAAGTAAACTGTATTGTAACAGCAATGTACTTACAACTTCATCCTTTGAGCGATGCGTTGGCAGTCCTCTTTATCATAGAACCAAATGCCATGGATCATCACTGAAACAGAAAATATCCCGTCAGTCGGGTAAATGTGCAGCTTTGATTGGCTGAATAAGAAGGGCAAACAATTCTAAAATGGTTATAGATTCACACTGAGCTCCCTTGAATGCCAGTTGTTCATCACCAGCCTTAAGTGTTTGACATTGGAGATAAGAGAACCTTTATTCGTCCTACACTGGGGAAATTTCAGTGTTGCAGCACACATTCAGGACTGTCGTAAGAGCACATATAATACATGGTCCAACCCAAACCCTAACTTGTATAAACCCAGCACAGAAAGGTTAATATGTGCTCTAGCTGTGTTTCTTTGAGATGTAGCAGACAGTAGAAGGTCAGCAGACATGCACATGTGCTGAATGACCCGACAGAGCAACGCTGCTGCTGTCTTTGAGAGCTGGTATTATTAGTCCTGTCTGATCCAATGCTGCTATGACTGTAACATTTGCTAATTATAAGTTCATACAAGATTAGTAAAGGTTAAAGATAACCTAATGTGATTTACATCAAAAGACTGCATACGTTTATATTGTTAAAAATAAATCAGTCTTGTGTTTAGTTTACAAATATGTTAAAGGAAACATTGTTCCTAATCAAAAACAGACCTGGAGTAGCTCTTAAATCCAGCCACGCTAATATGACAATTTTCTTTTTCCAATACTTTATAATCTACCATTCAGTCTGTCAAGCAATATCATACAAATGCTTATTATTGTTATCATTATCATTATTATACAAGTCATACCTCAAATTCTACTGGTTTCAAGTTTGAAAAAACATTTAATCTCAAATTAATTTGAATTATATCAATTGCTTTTTTTATCAACCAAAACTACAACAGCAATTACACAGAATTTTCGATTTACCAACAGCAGATTAGAAAATAATATAAACAGAACACATCAGTCAATGGCCCTCATTTATGAAACTTGCGCAGAAGAGGTGGTATATTTATGAATTTATGAACGTGTGAGATTTGCCCAGATCTGAGCGTACGCATCTGCGGCTCTTGATGAAAGCCGCGGCTGAAAACGAGCGTATTTATGAAAGTCACGCCAATAAATATTCAGAAACTGGCTGTTTCACGCTTGGTTTTTGCGACAATTGAAAGGAAGACGGCTAAGACAAAATAACTTCACGGAGCAAGAGTTTGAAACCAGTATGAACAAATTGGGAAAAAAATAAAGTCAAACTATTTGGAAGCCTCAAAAGTGGCATCAAGGGGGGGTCAAAAAAGAAAATATGGAAAGAGACAACAACATCTGTGAACAGCGTGGGGCCTGTAACACTCCTAAAGAGGTGAGTTTATTCATGTTTGTTTAAAAAGAAACATACGCTTTATTATGTCAAACAGTTGACAGATATATTGGGCCAATAGTTAGAATGGAGCAACCTTAAAATGGCAACAAAAAGGACCTAATTTTAAGAAAAACAATTATCTTCAAATTATTTGTGTGATTATTATCATCCATATGTTATATTTTCCAAGACATGTTTATCCAATATCAATAAATGTCCCGGGTCATCTTCTGCCCTTGGACGCTCCTGGATCGGCAAGGAATATAAGTTTGTTGCCATGGTTATGATAGTGCTTTGAATGGACTGTACGGTGAGGCAAGCTCGGTTACTGTGCAAATTCAAGGTTATTTAATTTTTGTGGAAATGCAGACACACAAAAGGTGCCAATATACAAACTACTACAATAAGACAGAAACAAAGAACAGATAGTGGACATTCACATGGGTGGGTACTAATGTATTAGTGTGCAGTGGTGCGTTTGTGTGCGCGTGTGTGTATCTTACCAACTAGTTACAGTGCCTTGCAAAAGTATTCACTTTTTGTGTGTTTTGTTGCCTCACAACCTGGAATTAACATGGATTGTTTGAGGATTTGCATCAGTTGATTTACAGAACATGCCCACAACTTTGAAGATGTCTTTTTTTTTTATTGTGAAGCAAACAACAAATAGGACAAAATAACAGAAAAGGTCAATGTGCATAACTATTCTATTCCCCTAAAGTCAATACTTTGTAGAGCCACCTTTTGCGGCAATCACAGCTCCAAGTCGCTTTGGATAAGTCTCTATTAGCTTGCCACATCTTACCACTGGGATGTTTGCCCATTCCTCCTTGCAAAACTGTGGTGCCTCTTGCTTAGGTGTTGCAGCCTCTGAGGCTTTTCAAAAAAGGTGTGTATGTATATGTACTGACAGATCATGTGACACTTAGATTGCACACAGGTGGAAATCATTTCACTATTTATGTGACTTCTGAAGGTCATTGGTTGCACCAGAGCTTTTTAAGGGCTTCATAACAAAGGGGGTGAATACATATGCACAAGCCAATTTCCAGTTTTTTATTTCTGAAAAAAAGTTTTAAGTATACATTTTTCTCAATTCACTTCACCAACTTAGACTATTGTTTTCTGATCCATCACATGAAATTCAGATTAAAAAAAACATTGAACTAAAGGCTGTAATGTAACAAAATAGGTAAAAAGCCAAGGGGGGTGGGTAGATGTACTGTACATCTACCCACCCCCCTATATGCTGCTATTTTCCTTTCCTTCCTTGTGTACGTCTACATGTGTCAAAAAGTTCTTGAAAACACACAATAAGAATACTTTGGTCTTCAAACTAAGAATAAAATAATCTTGAATATCTATTTAATCAAGATTTATTGTAGAATCATGTGTGGATGACAACACGCATGATAGCATGATACAAATAGAAAACTACTATAGTAGACAGACGTGTGTTTATTTTGAAGTGCAGTGTATTTGAAAAAGTAGCACAGCTCTTGTGGACACACGCATGCTCCATCCGACACTGCGGTTCACCCGAGCCTGGGAAAATGAGCCCAGGACCAAATAAGTAACAGCAGCAGAGACTGGAGTCTGCGGAGTCACACAAAGCGACTGCATGACGAGCAGAAACTACATACAACACACAAAAACAATTACACTGAAATAAACAAATACATACAGCTCATAATCGGAAGACATTTAATTTGTTAAATGCAAAGAACTTGAAAAACAGTCTGCCAGTAAGATACATTTTTCAATTACATGTGGTCTCAACCAACAATACAATAGTCTTATAACGGTACATCATTAGCCTTGAAAATAATGATCAGCATTGTTGTGCTTTGATACAGTAGCTGTCAAGGATTGTGAAAGAGACAGATAAACATAATCTTAGCAATTAAAAAAGAAAATCTTATTTTGAACATCTGAATAATGGACCATACAAATTTCAAATTATATCTTATATATTCATTGTTTGACAGGCGGATCGGTGCAGCGTGCACAGTGATGCGGTCTCTGTATCGGACCGTTGTGGTAAAGAGGGAGCTGAGCCGAAAGGCAAAGCTCTCGATTTACCGGTCAATCTTCGTTCCCTCCTTCACCTATGGTCATGAGCTTTGGGTAATGACCGAAAGAACGAGATCGCGGATACAAGCGGTCGAAATGAGCTTCCTCCGCAGAGTGGCTGGGCGCTCCCTTAGAGATAGGGTGAGGAGCTCAGTTACACGGGAGGAGCTCGGAGTAGAGCCGCTGCTACTCCCCGTCGAGAGGAACCACTTGAGGTGGCTCGGGCATATGTTCAGGAGGCCTCCTGGACGCCTCCCTGGGGAGGTTTTCCGGGCACGTCCCTACCGGGAGGAGGCCCCGGGGAAGACCCAGGACACGCTGGAGGGACTATGTCTCTCAGCTGGGAACGCCTTGGGGTCCCCCCAGACGAGTTGGAGGAAGTGTGTGTGGATAGGGAAGTCTGGGCGTCTCTGCTTAGACTGCTGCCCCCGCGACCCGGAAACGGATATGAAGCGGAAGAAAATGGATGAATGGATGGATAATAATTGTTGAAATTATTTTATATAACAAATTTAAAAAAGAAAAAATTCAATTAAAAGTATAATTTTTCAAAAGTCAATCATCAACCATTTTGTCTCAAATGTTAAAATGTATTCTCACAAAAAAGAAGAACAACGACTGGTTCAAATAAATTGATTTTTTTTAATGAATTGCTCATAAGCTACTGAATTGTTTGACTAAATTACAGAAATAAACAAGTAACAAAATAAGTTCAATCAAAGCTGGTGAAATCCTTTATGAAAACTAAGTGCACTGCTTGTGATCTGTTTTTGAAACAGGAACAACGGTGTAAAATTACTCTCAAAAAACACGATTTTGCGGAGTTCATTTGTAGAGATTTCGTTGTGAGTTTTCAAGTACTTTGGTTGCTCAGCTGCCCAAACAGGCTGAGAGAGAGCAAAAAAATCTGACTCCTGAAACAGTCTGATAAGGATAGAAGGGGAGGGCCATCACAAGCAGCAGAGTGGGAGAACAGGCTGGGGAGAAAGGGGTCCAACCAGCTGAAGGAGACCGGACTAGACTGGACAACACTGGGAACCACATCTCAATGCTCTCATTATGAATCAATCGACAAGAACTACACAAGTTTAAAAAAAAAAAAAAACATTTTAATCTGATTAACCAAGTTGGGATATTCAAGGATTTGAAATTCATTTTGGACTTACGATTGCATCCCTCCGTGTTTATATGGATGTCATTGCAGAGATTTGAGAGGGCTGTATATGATCAGCTCAAGAGTGAAGACAAAGTGTGAACTAAATACAATTTTAAAGGAGTATACGGTTCTTTCCAAAGGCAGCAGAAAGCCATGGCGATACTGAAAGGTCTTTTTCACAGAAGATTGAAGCATGAGCGACTGGAAGAGGAGCCAGAGCTTAGGTTCAAAGGCCTGCTGGTGTCCGAGCAAGCGCTGGGATATACGCACGTGCCGCCCGGAGGTAAGTTACGCTGCAAACATCCTAATATATTGCCAGAATTTAGCATAAATAATAATAATAATGATAAGGATTTACTGTATGTGTGGAAGAAGAGGAGGACATGAAGGGGATGGACCACAGTTTTTGTAGTCACTAAAAGCAAATCAAATGTATATGAAATTAACAATTGTTGTTAATAAATCAATTAGTCGGCTCATAATTCTTTTGATTTTTTTTCATACATTACGTTATACCAAAACAAAGCTTGAAGCTTGTCATTATAACATTAGAGTCATAAAATCTGATCCCCACATGTTTAAATCTATGGAAAGTTAAAAAGTTAGTTGGCAAATACATTCTTTAAAAATGATGTCATTTTCTCTTATACCTATAAAGGCATCTCTCATCTTATTTAGTGAGTACATTTGCACAGTTGTTGGCTGACTAAATACTTTTTTGCCCCACTGTATGCACGCTCAAACATTTGTTTGTATGGTACAGGGTCTCCTACCTATACTATGGGAGCTACTGATAGCTCACTGTAATATATAAATCCATTTCAAAGTTTAAATCTCAATGTACAATGTAAAATAAACAGTTTTGAAAAGGGGGAAATGAAGCAAAAGCTTATAAACTTCCCAACCCCCTTCACTCATTCAAGATCGAGGACAATCAGATTTGAACCAAAACTATTTTAAAGCTGATAGAAGAACAGCAGTATAAGACAAGGCAACACACACACTACACAGAGGGCACAGGCCCAAACATGTGTTGCCCATGGGTTTGTTACAAGTGCTAAAAGAAGTAGCTCCAACTCAATTTTTGTTAAAGTAGCGCTCAGACTAGCCTGGTCGTTCAACACCATTGTACAAATAACATTTTCAGTTTGGAGACTCATGGTATAGTACAACGAAATCTCTTGTTTTTGTCTTTTGTGTTTCTTTTTTCATTTCCTTCTCAAGAACATTTCAGACCTTGTTAATTACAGTGTTCTTTGGCCTCAAAACACTTTTGAGGGGATTTGAGGGAAGAGTTCATAAAGAATATTAGCACATGGACAGTTTCTTTACTTGCAGAGATTAGTTTTCACTATTTGTAATCTGCTTTCATTTCGGCATTACTAGTAAGCAGTATTAAGCACATCTGATTAGTTTGAGGTTGCATTAAACTGACATTATAGTGTGCCACAGCTTATCTGCACTGGGAAATCAGGAATAATGACTTGCGTGGGCTCAACGTCTGACCATAAATCTTTACTGTTTCTGTTGTATATCTTTGGTTTATTTTTACCACCACTTTGTGCCAACGGCCATTCCAGGAAGTGGCGTCAGCACAGAGCGACATATTTGTTTAATGATAAGACTCCACGACCTGCAGCAGAGGTCACAGCGCCTGGCAGAGGCCGCCAGCCACCGCAGACTCACACATTATAAACCACTTTTCAAATGACAAGAACTAATGACTCAAGCTTTTCTGAAGTAATGAAGCCATCATATAAATGGAGCCAAAGGCATTTCCTAACAAGAAACATTCACTGGCAGCACACATTCTTCCTTACCCAAAAAGTGACTTATCAGCAATTTTGCCATCATCCTGAAGTACCTGACTTTATTGACAAAAAAAAGCAATTCATAAAACCTAGAACAGGTCATTGAACTGCACAAAACAACCACATGTGTTTACTATTCCAAAAACGGGAACAGACGTTTTGAAAATAGTGCAATGCCAATGACACGATATAGAAACTACTTGTAACATCTCGTTAAAGGTTAAGGTTATGGTTAGTGTTAAGGTAGATATTAAACGGTAAACAACAAGAGGATAACAGGAAAATCAGTTACAGTGTGTTTTTGCAAAGTTTCTTTGCCAAATCCCCTTGTGTACGAATACTTGTTCAGAACAGAAAAAAAATGTCTGCACTGCATTGTATGAACGATTAAAAACATGGTTTAATATTATCTAAAATCACACAAAGATTTTTTCTTTAAAGGATCAGGACTATGAAAGCAGCATGTTGAACCCAGGGTAGAACGTTATGTGTGAGTCAGCGGGTCCTATTATCTGTGATGGTGGTGAGGGTTTAATCTGTGCTGCCCTGGATCTGTTCTGTCGGGCTCTTGACCTCAGCCTGAGTACATGTGTGCCAGCTCCTTATAAGGCACCTCTGGATTCTACTCAGGCCTCAACTGGTATCTGCAAGACGTTCACATACCAACCCAGTCTGCAAATACACTTGTTTTGTTCTTTTTTTGGAGCCATTTACACAGAAAAAATATCAGGTGGAAAGTATATTTTGTATGCTATGTCCCCTGCAAAAGATCATAGCAATGACCCGTGGCTATCATATTGTCTGTCAGCAATAGTATGAAGTCGCACCAAAGACATCCTGACAAATCCTATCTCACTACTAAACTTGCAGATTCATTCTTTCTTCCTGTTAAAGCAGAGCAGACTTACACTGTACAGTTAAGAAGAAAGTTGCTTTTCAAAATAACCACATTTACTATGTTCCTTTTAAAGAATTGCTTTTATCATGACAGCAGAGGCAGAATAAGATTAAACGGAGGCAGAATAAACAGTGGACATGACAAATTACATAATGGTACAAAAAATATTGGAGAATCAATTCATGTTTACAGAAAAAAAACTGTTATTGTTTTCCAGATAATTTTTTGGTCAAACTTTAGTTCTGCCAATATAGATATATGCATGCGTATGTGCGTGTTCTTGCTTACATCGTGCATTGCGGTAAAGAAGAAAGGGGTCCTGGAGTTGGAAGTCCAAGTCTTTGGTGATTGGCTCAGTCAAGTTCTCCATGCTCAGTCTGTTCATGATTGTGAAACCATGTCTGGGAGACGCCAGCCTGCAAAGAATTAAATAATCATTACAAAATACAAATATGTACCAGTAAATCTTTTCAGTTTGAAACAATTCCATAGAGCAGGGTTCATCATTACGCATCTCCAAGCCTTCAATGGCAGTGACAAACACATTCAGAAACAAACTAAATTCACTCAAGGAAGAGAAAAAATAAAGTACGGGCTGAGGCATGTGTCCTTTCAAATATTAGTTTTCACTTTGAGAACTCATTGTTTCATTGATACGCAGAATTGTATCAAGTTTAGCACCAGTGAGCCTCTCAGATGTAGCTCACCAGTCTTTGCTTCTCTCCTCATGCTTCTCATCATATAACAAAACAAAATAATAGTTTGTCACTTTATGAGTAAAACTTGACGTGCACAAAAATTGCACATGTTTCTGTATTTCTTCTAATAGCGCTTCCAATAATGCTTTGCGGCCGGAAGCTGTATGCAGTTGACAAGCTGTGGTAGATCGGCACTGGGAGTTGTAGAAGCGTGCAAGTCCTCATGAAAAGGCAGAGAAGGAAACCTACAGCGAGTTTTAAACGTCTTGAATACTGGGAACAATGGCCTTAGTGTTTTCAATAAAACAGTAGAAAGGTTCACCATCTTGTGGTTGTTTGCAGAACTTCACATAATTGAAATGGTATAGGATGTGAGGAATGTGTGAAGGTAAATCAGATGGAAAAGTCCAGAGTTCATTTCTGTCACATTTGTGACTTTTTGAAAAAAGTCACAAATGTGTGTGAACAATGTTAAATCAAAGAGTATTTTTTCTGCCCTATGATTACGAAGTAGATGTTACAAGTTTGTTATCTTAGTTTTCTTATCACAGAAATCCCCTGCTACACCTGTCCTGTATACTTATGTAATAATAAAGTGTGCATAAATGTGGGTCATGGTATGTAAAATCAGTGCATCATAACACATTTGTACATCTGTATTTCACGATGTGAGCACATTAGCATATTCTGTACACTTCTGTACAAACAATCATTTGAAATAATTCAACATAAGTACATGTATGGAATGCTGTCTCGCAAATTATCCTTTGTCTTTTTAACCTTGTAGACCCTTGTAGATCGCTGCGCTTCTCACAGGGGTCTGAATCTGAGCCATAGTGGTTGGATAAAAATCCTTGTATGTGATTGGATAAACCACTCCGTTATCTTGAATGACGTCTTCTTTCAACCACTCACATCGAAGCACACGACTCCCATGGGTTGCCAAATACCGGCAAGATTTTCCAGCCCAAAACCCGCGAGAATGCCCAAAAGAAAAACAGTCTCTTGAAGAAAAGTATGCGGGAAACCCCCCAACCTGGCAACCCTGCTGCATTGTGTTGTAAACAGGAACACTTAAACCAGTACTTAAACCAAACTTTACACGAACATTGGAGTATTAAAACACACATATAACAACATAGAACCGTCAACATCTTGCCTCATAATGCATTAATAGTGACATCCGTGTCTTAATTCGTTCGTATTTGAACTTTTAAAAAAATTCACGGACTTCATGTCCGCCATCTTGGATTGCTTTCGTAATCCAAGACACGCTTGAGAAGGCGGTGCAAACACCGGCAATCCTGATTGCAGGCCTTGACATTAAGCTTTGTCAGTCACTTGCCCTTCAGGCAAGTACCATTTATATTTTACTTGCCCAATGTCAAAAGTTACTCGCAAAAATATTTCTCAATGCAATGAGTAAACAAGACATTGGTATAAAGTGGCACTAACTGTGTGGAAAGAAAATCCACTCTCAGCCCGAAAAGTCAAACTCACTTAAGTATGCTAAATAAATAACAAAACGCCTGTCGTGGTGTTTTCTGTTTGATTTGTTCACAACCAATTACTTTTGTGCACAACCAACATGCATTTTTAATGCAAGGGGAGATTTAGGTACCCGAGCTTTAATTTCGTGAGTTTTGGTTGCGCATAGGTAGGAGACACGGGGGAGACCTGCACTTGCAACAAGCTGGGCAACTGCCTGTCCACAGCTGTCATACAATCTCCAGCTTTCTCAAATGTTTGGTTCAGTGGGGGACTAGTGTCCCTTGTCATCTTGACTTTTCGTAAATTTTGAAATCTTTGGTTTGAATCCACACATTTGTGCAACTTCACTTGTTCTTGTACAGACGTGTGGACGAGCTCCCATGAAGCTTTGCTCCAAATATGTGTGGGCTCGGCTGCACTTTGACTAATGGGCGGTTGCTAATCAGAGCGGAGTTAGAGCGGGAGCCAGACGAGCACAGTTTGTTGCATTAAAGTGTAGATTTAATAATAAATCTAGATAAATAAAAAATCGGTTTTATATAGCACTTTTCAGGGCACTCAAAGATGCTTCACATGTCATTATTCTTTCATTCCAAACCCTGGTGATAAACTTCGACTGTAGCTACAGCTGCCCTGGGGCACACTGACAGAAGCGAGGCAATCAGTAAGTGCCATCTGCCCCTCTGACCACCACCAACCATTCACACACACCAGATTCATTCTAGGCAATGTGGGTGAAGTGTCTTGCCTAAGGACACAACGACAGTTTGGCAATTTACAGCCGCAGCCACCGCACTGTGGCACCTGGTGTTCCCAGAGGTCTACCATCACAGTACTAACCAGGTCCTGATTGATACAGCTTTTTTATAGAAAACTGAAGGATTTACAAAAAACAAAACTTCAGGATGACAAGGAACACTAAAATCCCCACAGAATCCTCCTTTATGAAAGCTGTAGGTTCTCTGTCAGCTGAGGTAGAGCTGTTTAAGTTTAATGGGACATTTTTTGGGTGGCGCCACATGAATTTAGTCTGCAGTACGGCGGGCGCCGTCTGTGTCCATAGGTGGGACAGCTATAAGTTAGTAAAATCCTATGCAGATATTATTATAGATCCATGGTCAAAGTTCTCAAGTGTTTGCCTCGGCCTGCAGAAGTACCACAAACGGCGCACCTACTGAGCAAGACCAGAGGTGACCAACATGTGTCATTTTTTCTACTATTTTGGCCTCCATGGTGCGAGCCTACGCCAATAAGCACAGCCAATTGAATGGTCAGACATCGTGAATTGCCGGATTGCTTGGGTTCTGCTGCTGCATGAAGAGAATAAGAAGCAAGCATAAAGTACTGTGTATTCTAGTGCACGCAATATGTAGTTGTGTGTTTACATCTGTACACAGCAACAGTATGTTTACACGTCTTGATTCTTGTGCCATGTTTCTGTTTTACATTGAAACTCAGGACTAATCACCAGTAAAACTTCAAAATAATGAATAAACTATGGCACAAATAATGGCATAACTAATGACAACTAATGGCCTATGACCTGCAAAGCTTTATGGTATTGCGCAAAAGTGAAATATATACAAATATCTTACTGACAACTTTAAATGTGGATTATTGGTCGGTTTTGTGTAGTCAATAAGTAAGTAAGTAATCTTTATTAATATAGCGCCTTTCTCAGACCAGAGTCACAAAGTGCTTTACAATTGTTACTTTTGGACATTTGTCTGTAACTTCACACAGAGATGGGAGCGGGATCGCCAGTACAGGAGACTCATGCCAGACCTATTGTACATGTTTTAGTGGTAGGAGAAACCAGAATTTCCGGAGAAAACTTACGCAGACACGGGGAGAACATGCAAACTCCACTCAGAAAGACACTGTTCCGGCCGGGATTCCAACAGAGGACCTTCTTATTGAGTAGCAAAAGTGCTATCCACGTGCGCAATTGAATGTATTTTCCAAAAAGTTGAGAAATCAAGATAGTATCATTATAGACTAAAGGACAAGGTCATACACTTCACACAAGTTTGGGTTGTATAAAAAAGAAATACATTTGTTTTTCAGTCTGCCACTTACCTTGTGTAGATAAAAAGGGTTCCTTCCACCTCAGTTTTCTCCTGAAAAATACATCAGACTAGTTAAAGAAGAGAAAAAAAACCATAAAGTAGTAGTAGTGGTAGTAGTATGTTTAAGAAGGGTTTAATCATAAGCCATATAAATGCAATAATGTGCAATTACCATAGACAGTAAGTCATTTACTGACAATTGATGATAGAATTACACATGATGTATTGTTTGCGTTTCCGATATTGACACACAGTCATAATAAAGACTATAAATACTGTACTAATGTAAGCCCCTGTGAGGAGGACAATGGGAATTTGTATCCTTTTTTAGTTCAATGATGTACCACGCCGCCAAAAAAAATATATATCTTTTTATTGCCATTGTAAGTACCAGGCAGATACAATCAAGGTGCAATCAGTTATAAGAGAGAGAGATAAATAGCGTTAGGCATAAAATCTTCATAACAGTTCTTAAAATTAATGATAATCTAACGCATGTACACTAAGTATACTTCACTGTGCCCTTTTAGATATGGCCATGTACAATTGAGAAATACAAAATCTAGCGTTAGGTTGAATTATTCAAAATTTCTAACGGTAATCGCTAACTGACATTAACCGTTAAAATAGCACCGGTTTTCCTAGAACGACCAAATGGGTTAACCGAACCTGTGTACAAATCCAATCTTAAGCCCCACTTACCCACTCATTGGCCCGGTTGTTGTAAGTGTATAGGGCTACTTGGCTGGCCACATCCACAATATCATTGATATAGGGATCTTGTCGTTTTAAAGCGGCCAAACTTATGTCCAGTCCTTTAGCGACGAGCGAGCTCCCCGCACAAGTGGCCGTCATTGTTCCGTGTGGAAAAGTGCGCTGTCGCCTCCACACCACCTCCGAGCACAGCACAGAGCTGCCGCACCGAGAGCAACACTGTCCAGGAAGAAAATGCAACTGTGTAGTGGCTTTAAAATCGCAGCAAATAGAAAGAATACAGGTTTGAAGCTGATATTAAACATATATCCACAAGCTCGCCGCCATGTTCAGCTCAGTATTGTAAACAACAAGACGAGAGCAGCTGCGCCAGAGAGAGAGAGCAGACAGGGGTAATAGTCAAACAAGAACTATCGATCGCAAGTATGTTAATGGATAAAAAAAAATATAACTATGAGAGTATGACGACCTAATAATGATAACAATGATAATAATTGAATAGTATTTACTAATTTAATTGACAAGTTTTTAACACATTTTATCACACACGCACGCACACACATACACAGATACACTCACGCAAACACACACACACACACACACACAATAATAATAAACACACATTCACAGGTCCAGGACAAGAACACAAAGAATAACACAAATACATATCGACATACATTTTAAAACCCAATAATCTTCAGAGTATTGCATTTGGATGTGCGCTGTGGGTGGTTACAATGTCAGTGACATGAACCAATGCCAGTGAGACTTGAGTGAGAGAGCCTCCATCTGCTTGCAATCCTCTTTTTTGCAGTCGTTAGGCCAGGTAAGAGAATCTTGTACCTTAAACCTGTACCTTGCATAGACCAAGTTGAGAAAAGTGGTTAAGGTGCAGGGAAGAACAGGGACTTTGACAACGGAAAGGGACGGCCTATAGGTTTTGTGTGAAACTCCTGGGGATTCCCTGGCCTTAGCCATCCGTAAACTCCGGTCAATTCTCATTTCCCTGCATTTACCGTCTGGGTCTAGTCCCAGTGTCTGCAATTATAGGTTAAAATCCATCCGACCAATCAGCGAGCGCGGGTGACGGGTGTTGTAGGTAGATGTGGATGACATCAAGAGCTGGCGCCAAATTGGCTGGTCGTAGTTTGGCAATGGCGAAGAATGCGATAGTAACGTAACCTGTTCTGGTTCTATCAAGAAATTGAAGCCAGAGCAAGAGGAATGTTTAGCAAATGTAATTCCTGGCAAAAATTGAGACGCTACCCCCCACAGGCTCTGTTAGTGGCAAAGAAGACGGCTAGGCTAAATACTAAATGCTAACGACTAACTTGGGCGCATTACATACGTCACGGTAAACTCAGATCCAATCGTTTAAATCTACAAAAGGAGTCAACCCCTCCCACCTGGAGCTCAATGGAGCAAAGCCAGACCTTAATATGAAATGTATTTTGTACGATGTTGTGGAACAACCAGGCTAGGAGATTCCTAAATATTGAGAAAATAGTCATAAAACCTTTCACACAATTGAACTAGCAAGGCTGGGGAACTGCTCAATGACTTCCTGGTACTTCACCTCAGGACATGGATTTCTCTGCTGTTTAGTCATTGAACTTTTATTTCTGTTTTATATTCCATATGTTTGTAATTTTTCAGTTAGTCCTCATAGAACTCATAAAAAAGTGTTGTCCTATTTTGTTAGCCTGAGATGTAATGGTAACAAGGTAAGAGAGCCACAGCCGTAGCAGCTCCGGAAAACAATTTAGCCACGGATGTAAAAAAAATAATAATAATACTGTTTTAAACCTGGTTCTGATGTTATAATATACTTGAAAGGCAATTTAGATGATACTGGTATCACATTAAAAAAAAGAGACCCACTCGCACAGGGGTCTCCTACCTGTAGCTCGGCTTGCCATCCCTTTGAGGTAGCTCGCCAAAGGATTTCATTATTGTAAATGCACCCAATATCAAGCTTGTTCAAACTAATATATCACCAAATTTGTGCTTAAAAGAGTATCTCTCTGCCTATATCGTCCTGGGAAAGTAGAGCTGGGTGAAAAAGGTTGGAGACACCTGCACTCACTACATTTCAACATTACAAGTGGACTGCATTTGTGATATTCCTATGGTGTAGCCGTATGTCCCATAAAGTGCATTCTTTCTTATGCAGCCACCATGTCAAGTGATGAGATGAATAAGGACCCATAAAACTGTCATGCAAAAAAAATGATTTAATAAATATGATTATAACAATGTCCAAGAAAAAAATAATAACTAGCAATAAGGGGAAAGGAGCAGAGACACAGGTAAAACCAATCAGGGTGGGGAAGCCAATAAAGACAGTGGAACAGGACAGGAAGTAAACTGCAGAACTAAAGTCAAAATAAAACCAAGTGCAAAATAACTAACAAAAAAATCACACCATGACAAACCAACGATTCCCTACTTACATTCAAGAGCATAATGAAAATTATGAGCTGATTATATTTCCAAGCACAACCAGATGATGAAGAGTGAAGTGGCTGGTCTGATCTTTGATGTATTCTACCATTAGGCCTCTAGAGGGCAGAGAAGGGCAACAGAAATCTGCATTGTGTTTAATCCCAACAGTGATCAACCCTTTATCCTCAAAGTGAATGCAAAAGACAATGTAAGTCTTATGATATCTGATACTTGGTTCATTTCTGTGAGATCTGCATGTTTCAGAAATAAAGAATGTATTTCCGCTTGAGAAATAATATCCAAGGACAGGACAATATCGGATACAGGAACAGGGACTTTTGCTACGTCAGTTCTTGAAACCCACACCTTTCTTTGGCATCACTTGATATCATGTTGCTCCTCTGACACACAGTCCTCTTTGAGTCTTGACATTGAGGCCCTTGCACTTATTTTGCACTTATTGACATAGATCTGGGGATTTCAGTGTTGTGTGCAAAATAATAACACAGCTGAAGTCCTTAGTATTTTTGTATATAAAAAGTATTTTTGTTACAATAAATGATACCTAAAGCACCATTTTTTATTTTAAATTTTCCTTCCATAATACAAAAGGCATTGAATGTAAAAAATACACGGACCCCATTGAAGGTTCATTCCTTGTAATCATGATCTTTGTACTGTGCATCACATTTGATATCCAATCTGCATCATCACCTCCCTGCATCACCACATATCCCTGGACACTCATTTTAACCGTGACGTATTGACCGGAGTAATTCATTTTCATGAACACCTCTTTCAAACCACAGGCAAATGCTTGTTAAAGCAGCCTCCTTGTTAAAACAGTGGTATCTGGCCATTGCTCTTTTTCTCTACCTCTAGAATTGTCAATGATCACACTAATGACTTCTCCATCAGCTGATCAATAATGTCAATATGCATTCATTGACGATTAGGAGCTTGTGTTTGATTGGAGGATGCTGGCGAAAAGAGGAAACGAATTGGTTGATAAGCAGAATGGGATTGACCTTAGTAGTTTTGCTTGTGGAATCTAATGAGAGAGGGCAGGGGTCAGAGAAGGAAATTTCCCCTGGCACCATGCAGCTGCAAAGAATTTGGAAATGTATAAATAACCGTCTACTGCAGAGATTACAAAATAGATTTGTCAGAATTAATATTATTTTGAAACAATATTAATCATATACAAATGACAACTTGGGTCAAAGGCTAAACATGACAGCAATTAGAACAGGATTATTAGACAAATATGTATTTGTAGCCATTTATAAGCATGTAATAACGATGTGCATCAGCCGCTGGTTTTAAACCTGCTCGAACCGCAAAAACTAACTCGATGTGGTGTGAGTGAACCACACTCAGATCATCTCTGGGTTGGTTTCCTCCGGGCACGCCCATTTCCCCCACCACCCAAAGCATGCACCAGTCTGAAAGGGATGAGTGAATTATGGAGGGAGGGGCAGATGGCAGTCAAGTGAATGAATAAGAGTGGCGCTTAGAGAGAGTTCTGCAAGCTTGTAAAGCGCATGAGTGCAAGGTGTTATTATTATTATTAGTAGTGTTAATATTATTATTTTCATTATGATTATATGATTATTATTTATTTTGATATTATTTTAAAAATAATAGTTTTGTTTTCAATCTTGATAGAACTCATTAATTGGGTAATGTCAAAAGTGGTGTTTGTCTCATAATTATAGCACCACAGAACTTTCACAGCCAGCACTAGTGCGGACAAGGTGTCATTATAATGGCAACTGTGGCACGTGAGCTAGTGTCAGCTTGGCCGTGCTTGAGAGGTGCACTGTGAACTGATTCTTGCTCTATAATTAATTCAGTTTAACAGAGTTGTATAAGTTCACCTGCACGTCCTTTGCTAATGCAAGGTCCAGCAGGCCATCCAGCCTCGGTGAACGTGATATAGGGTCTGCCTCCTGAGCTCCATTAGTCCCCTGCCCCAGACGCAGCATTCGTCATTTGGAGTCACGTCACATTTCCTCTCTAAGTGCCATCTCATAGCCTCGCTCACTCCACCAATACTGAAGACTGATCCACCATCAGTTTCTCTTCTGACCATGAAGTCTAAAACCCCCTGAAAAGTTCTCAATAGGGTGACATCTATGACAGCGTGGAGTCTTTTGTAGAGCATGGATGAGGTTCTTATCCTGTCTGATGGTAAATCACCCATTCTTCTTTGCAAAAAGCCTCTGGTTCCTGTAAATTCCTGGGACATTTCCCCAGAGCGGCTTATTGATGTTAAAATGATGACACCACAAGGTTTATACAGAAACAGATGGCTTTTGTTTATATGTTAGTGATATTAGCATTTTGAGTCACACCAATCAATACATCCCTTCTATCTTCCAAGTTCTATTTTTGGTCAATTTTGATGATTAAGTCTTGGATGTGGCTCTTGATTTTTTTTTTTCCAGATCCCCAAGCCCTATTGCCCTTTTTTTCTCATGGACGTCCAGGGGACTTGTGTCTTGCGTCCCACTGTATCAGGGGCATCAACAGGAAAAAGCCCTCCTCTGACAGGGTCTAATGGTGCGTAACATGTAGCATGACGTATGACATTAAGCAGTGCCCTGAATCCACTGACTGGTAAATAAGCCAAATATACATACAGTATATTCAAACTCTTTTCCCCAAGCAGCAGTTTGTTTATATGACACAAT